GGCCTCAGTTAATCGACTACCCGAAATAGTTTCTTATTATAATAATTATTTAATTACATGAAAAACAAAACAAAAATGGAAACGGAGACAGGGAGTTGAAAATCACCCGACTCTTCCTTTATCCACATCTTCAATCTTCATCTCTCCTCATCTCCTCCAACCTCGCATCCGCACTCAAGCTCCGCCGCCGCCGCATCTTGCCGCACTCAAGCTTTGTTGTCGATTCCTCTTCTTCCCTCATCTGATTCTGGATCTGCCATCGCCGCACCCGCACTCAAGCTCCGTTGCCACTACCAATCCTCTCGCCGCACCAACCAATCCCGCGCCGCTACCAAGAAGTCAGAGAAGGAGGAAGGACGTCGGCGGGGATTGGGAGTGGCCGAGCGGAGGTGGGGGAGGTTGGGAGAAGAAAGGGGAAAGTTACGCAATTTTGGGGTCCGATTGGAGGAGCCTGATTTTGGGGATTTTTGGCCTCGCCAAAGGTAGCCGTTTTGGGGTCACAACGGGACTTGTTAAACTTACCTTGTAGACCCAACCGTCAAGAATAATTCCTCGAGACTTGAGAGGACTTGAGTGTTGAGGACTTGAGGCTCTTTTCATTTTGGGTTAATTGCACCGGATGCCACTTAAGTGAGATTATTGTTGCAGGGTTACCACTTAAACACAATTAGTGACAACTAATTCCTTTACGTCGTTCTCCGGTAGCAACATTACCAGTTCCATCCACAGAAGTAACGGCAGGTACCGTGGAGGTAATTTTCCTAACACGCAAGCAGGACAGGTCAGCACCTCTTGCTGACTCAGCTTCGGGCCACACCTAACCCTGGGCCCACCCAGCCCACCCACCAACATGCAGAGAAACATAGGGTATGATCACTCGACTTCTCATCTCCCTCCTCCCTATTATGTTCTTTAATTTCGAAAAGACAGAAACCCTTCCTCCAGAGAGACGATCGTGCGGTTGCAAGGGGAGCCGATTAGAAAGATTAACCCCATACTAAAAAATAGGGCGTGAAGAACGTAGATTAAAGTCATCACATCTTCTATTTATTACGGTAAGTAAAAAGTCTCATGCATCTGCAAGTTCTTCGGTCTTCCTCTACTCCTTGATTCTGATTTCTTTTCATCATGTTCTTAGGGCTTTGAAACGATAGATTGACGAAGATAACTTGTTAATGGATTGAAATAGGTAAGTGAATCCCGATTCTCCAGCCTCCTGAAAGACGAAAGTGATATGCTCTATAGAAGAATCTGTGGTGTGTTATTGCTAAATCAGGGGTTTGTTCTGTAATGGCAGGTTACATATAACAGCAAGCACGTGTTTCCTTGGCTTTGATCAACGAAAATGAGTCCAGCTATTAGGGAAGTAGGAGATACCGATCATATACCAACATATGGTGAATTGGATTTGTGTGTTGCTGCTACACTTTTCATCAGTTGATGTCAGGTTTCTTAAAGCTAAATTCGGCTTCATTGTTTTTGTTAGGAATCGATGATGATAAGTTCACCATCGAGTTGCAATATAAAGGAGAGATTGTGTACATACTAGACGAAGACTTGTGTTATTCTGGCGGGGAAGTTAAGTGCTTGGATTGGATAGATCCAGATTGCTTGTCTTTGTTTGAAATGGATAAATATCTTGTTGAGTTTGGCTTCTCGGAAAGTGTCAGGATGTTGGAGGAATATAGAATGAAGAATGGGTGGGCACACTATTGGATGCAACCAGGAGAACGATTGAAGGAAGGAATACAAGAGCTGAGAAGTGACAAAGAAATTATGGAAATGGCTACCAAGTTTGTAGAGATCTACCTGATCAACAAAGAAGAATTAACCAAAGCTAGCCTAGCTGAAGTTCAACATGAAATGACAGAGACAATATTCAAATATAATGAAATTGAAAGTAGCAGCAGGGGAAGGACCGAGTTAGAAGATGACGTGGGCTGCCAAAACAATGTTGATCATGTTGATTACACTGCAGAGAGTGACCCAAAATCAGGTTAGGATGGTGATTTTGAGGGCAGTGATGAAGATATGTAGGGGCAAAGCAACGCTTGGGGGGGGAGTGGCAGTCATGAAACATACATTGATGATGCATTTGATGTCCATTCCGAGGATGATATATATGATTCACACTACCTAGGCAGCATCCATTCAGATGATGATGATGAAGTATAGAGGGTTCCAAGTCGTCCAAGGTATCCCGAGTTCAATCCAGAGAAGGACATGAGTGATCCCCATTTCTGTCTACACCAAATTTTCATGGATTTTGACACTTACAAGGACCCCGTGAAGAACTACTCCATCAAGAGTAAGCAACCACTAAAGTTTAAACATAGTGACAGTAAAAGTGTCCAAGTTGTGTGTCAAACACGTTGTCCATGGAACATATGGGGAGCCCCAACTGATGATGAAAAGGCAGTTCAGACAAGATCCTGTTGTCTAAAGCATGAGGGGTGCATCATGATGTTCAAGAACAATTTTAGGGATGCTAACTACATAGCTCGAAGGTACATGCAGAGGTTTCAGGCTGATCCACAATGGGGGGTTGCCTCAATTGTCCAAAGAGTTGCAGAAGATTATAATTGGACTATTTCAAGGTGGAATGCATGGAGCATCAGACATCTTGCCATGGATCTATTGAGAGGCAATGCTAAAGAGTAGTATCATAAACTTCAAGAATAATGTGCTCAAGTTGTTAGGACAAGCCCTGGTTCAACCTGTTATGTGGAAACAACTGAGCATTCTAATGTCTTCAAAGGATGTATTGTTATTTACAACCTTGTAAGCAAGGGGTTGCTTTCTGCAGGAAAGTAGTTCTTCTTGACAGATGTTTTTTGAAGACAGACTATGGAGGACAATTACTCTCTGCAGTTAGCCTAGATGGGAACAGGGGGAGTTTTCCTCTAGCATATGTCGCATGCAAAGTTGGGAATAGAGATAACTGGACCTGGTTCCTAAACCAGCTATATCTAGACCTAGATATCTTCGAGGATTCAGGAAAATGGACATTTCTGTCAGATAAGCAAAAAGCAAGAATATTTTTATAATGTTTTGTTTTGCTGTAGAGTAATGTGGTATTAAGATGTAATTGCTTTATAATGTTGTTTTGTAGGGTCTGTTGAATGCTCATAGGTGGTTGCTTGACAAGTCATTCTCACAATGGACGAGGTCACATTTCCAACCATATTCCAAGTCAGTTGTGCTGACAAACAACATTTGTGAAAGTTGGAATAGCTCTCTACTAGGAGCTAGGACCAAACCTATTATAAGCATGTTCGAGACTATTAGGAAAATCTTGATGCACAGGTTTCGTTCTAGGAAGGTAAAAGCTGAGTTGAAATTCAAAGGTCGATTTTGTCCTAACATTAAGAGAAGGCTGGACTCGGCTCAGAAAGCTAGCTTCACTTGTAATGCCATTCAGAGTGGTCCACAGTAGTTTCAGGTTTCATGTCCTCAAGGTCAGGTGGTTGTTGATGTCAGTAAGTCCAAGTGCACTTGTAGGATGTGGGAGTTACCAGGTTTACCCTGCCCTCATGCCACATGCTGCATATGGCAACTCTTGAAAAGGATAGAGCATTACGTGGATGAGTGCTATGAGGTCAATGCTTACCTTCAGGCTTACTCTGGTGAGGTGGAACCCATGGTTGGGCCAGAGTCTTGGCTGCCAAGTGGGAAGGAACCTGTGTTGCCCCCACCGTTGGTTGTAGGTGAATCAAATAAAGGAAGGCGTCAAACCAAAAGGAGAAAGGGCATTGAGGAGACAACAGGCCCTGAAAATCAGAAACGCAAGTTTAGAGATGCAAATGAGAGGATGAGTAGGAAAGGAAAGGAAAGGGGGGAACCATTCATTGTAGTGTGTGTAAGCTAGCAAGGCACAACAAGTAGAGGTGACAATTCTCAATCCAATACACCAATCCAATAATCCAATCCATTAAAAATATCCACCTAATCCAATCCATTTAAATCCAATCCATTTGATCCAAATCCAATTGGATTGGTGGTTTCATGGATCAATCCATGGATCCAAATGGCAAATTACAGTTTGGTACCTACACTTTTTATATTTGACAATTTGGTACTCAAAAATTAATTTTTTATACGAAAAATGTCATTGGAAAATTACGTTTTGGTACCTAAAATTTTTCATTACGACATTTTAGTACCTAAACTTTTCATATTTTACATATTGGTCCTTGGTTTAGGATGTCATTTGGATTCATGGATAATCCACCAATCCATTTGATCCATGGATCCACCAATCCATTTGCCACTTCTAACAACAAGTCATTCCATTCAAAGGGGAAGAAGGGGGGGAAACTCAGCAACCGAGGTGAGACAAATAGTTTTATGATTGGTTAATTGAGAAATTTTTCAGTTCTAATGTTTGTGTTTATGGTTTGTAGGGAAGCCACCACCGACGGGTTCAATTGGTGTTGTATTACAATGGATGCCTGATGTATGGTCCTAATGTTTAACAACCATTATTATGTTCTTTGTAACTTGTGAGATTATGACAAATTGTTTTTGATTTGTAGGGAAGCACTCAAACTCGTCCAATGCATCCCTCAAGTCAAGCTGAAACTACCTCTTTTCCCTCCCAACAAAGCAGCCAAAGCTTCACCTCAGGTTCTCTACCACCTCGACAAAGCAGTCAATCCGAGGGACAAGCATCACGCTTTGCACAAGGTGAGTAGAGGCAAAGAAAACTTCCTGTTAGAGGAAAAGTCCAGAGGAAAGGGAAGATGTGATCTTCGTAGACAAATGGGGTGTGGGGTTTAGGTAGTAGGATGCAGTCCTTGTTTTCCTTTGTTTTTTGGGCACTTACATGACTATTAGCTACTTTTTGGGGAGTTCTGATTTCAATACAGTTTTTGGTGTTCATTATCCATATATAGTCATTGACATCGATCACCAAATATGTAGGCTGATCTATTTTGCAGCAGCTTTTAGCATAGTTGTTATGTAGGCTGGTTTTGGGTATAAAACTAAACAGGAAGACTAATCTATTTTGAAGCAGCAGCTAGCCATAGTAACACTTCTTATGGCTTTTACATCATTCAAATACATTACATCATTCAAAACAAGTTTCCCTAACACATTATTATCATCCATAACAGGTTCCCTAACTCATTACATAATCCACAACAGGTTCCCACTTAATTAATTGTTTTCAAACAGGAAATCCATCACACTCTTTGCCAAAAGAGCTCCAACCACAATAAAAAAACCCTTTGCTGATTTCTCGGACAAATGAGCTGCGATCGTTCCTCCTCTCCACCTCTCGGATTCTTTTGTGCAAGGTAAGAACAAGGCGCTTAATAATATCTTCAAGTAGTGGATCAATCCAACGAAAATAATTACATGAATTTGCACCCTACGAATCAAACAAGAGAAGAATCAGATCCATAGTTTACATATTAGAAAGGTTTGACAAAATGAAAGCTAAGGTTTAATCTTTCTAATCTAATCATCTTACCCGGTAATTGGTGCAACCGAAGAACCATCTTCCGGGGTTGCCATCGGTCCATGAAGTCCGAACTCCGAAGAACCGCCGGTACCGTGCACCGGCACATTGGACCTGCAGCCGCCATTGTCGACCGGCTTGGAGGAAAGAGGAAGCGGGCAGAAATGAATTGAGAGAAGGGTGTGCTTTTTTATAGCAATTTTGGCACATGAAAGGAAGAAATGAGAGAGCTGAGTGAATATAAAGTAGGAGGAAGAGCGGGATAAGGGCAAGCCGCGCGGAAAGAAATGTGTGTAAAGGGATTTTTGTGGCCAGAAGCTGAATCAACAAGAGGTGCTGACCTGTTCTTCTTGCGTGTAAGGAAAATTACCTTCACAGTACCTGCCGTTGATGAAGCCTGGAGCTTGGAGCCTTTCATTTTCAATCTCAATTGAAGGAAAGGCTGGAGCCTGGAGGTGGTTTTGTTAGCCAAGGCTATACGGCGGCGTATCTGCTTGCTCAATCTTCTCAAACTCAAACTTCCGATTTCGAGTGTTTCTGTTTTTAGTTTTCCCTCTCATACACTCTCCACTCCACTCTCTATTCTTCTCCAGTCTCCGCTCCTCCTCTTCACCAAAAAATCCACTGCTTCCTCCGCCAGAATCCAAGTCCGGAAACCGGCGGCGTCCTCACAATCAAGCTCTAACCCCCTCGGGAGCTTGGATCAGTCGACCTTAATTCTTTCAGCTTCTAGGGTTTAGCTTCGGGGAGCAGGAGCAAAGATATAAACCCTAACTCGGTCCAAACCGGCTCACCTTCTTCCAGCTGCTGGGCATTTCCAGGAACGATGGCGGATTTACTTGGGGGAACCAATCTGGACAAGTTAATGTCGTTTAGTGACGATCTGGTGGCGGTGTTGAAGAAGCAAACCAGCATTCATTCCTTGGCCCAATGTCTTGACGAGTCGAAAGCTCTTCACACCTTTTCTGAGGCGGAATTCGACGAGGTCCACACCCAGCTCGAAGGTCCCCCCTTTTCTCCATCTAGTATCTGCCTCTGAATTTTGAACTCTTGGTTTGCTCTGCTATGCATTTCCCGATTTATGATTGTCAATAGGAGCTCTTTTCAGTATGTTTCCCATGACTTTTTGTTCCGCTGGGTGGAAATCTAGTGAATTATGTATGTTTCGGAGTCTTGAGTCTGAGTTGACTCTGGAATCAATTTTGTGTTGACCCGACGAAGCCACTGTCTTTTGTTCAGATTACGAGAGAAAGATAGAGGAATGCAAGCGGAAGACTCAAAAGGCAAAACTGGAAGTGCGTGATGAAGCAGAGATAGACCTTTTACAGAAGGAGTTAGAAGCTGAGCTCGAAAAGGAACGTGCTTTACGAGAGGATCTCAGATAAGGGCATCTGTATATATTATGAAATCGATGGTTTGAGTTTATGAAATGTTGGTTCCCTTCCATTGATTGGTTTTGTTTCTCATTCTGTCAAACACAGTGATCAACAATCAGATCAGTGATTTAGAGCAGCGAAGGGGCTCCGTTGACGAGCAAATTCAATTGAGAAAGAAACTGTATCGAGAAGAGTCGAGGGCACAGTGAGTAGTAGATAAACCTCCTATGATGTCATCTGTGGAAAATATAATCTTTGGATTTTGTTGATCTCTTTGCCCAACAGGAAGTGAAGCATACTTTGGTTTGACATTTACAGGAAGAAGCTTTCGATGTATGCTTCTGTGACGAATATCATTCCTGACTTGGGCGATCGTTCCAAAATCTCAGGCCGTATCCTTGTCTAAGCCAATCATATATGGTTTGTTTCTCTTTTTTCCCCCCCTACAAAGACGTTTCTGATATGTTTTGTAGCATGCTTGCTTGGGGTTTCTTAATTCCAGCTTTAGATATAGTAGACCGGGATAAGAGGATGGTTGAGAAGTTTGAGTTCAACCCAGCAGAATCAACTGCATTTGAAACATGTGAGAGCATTTGGAAGTTGATAAATCACCGATAGGCATTCAAACATCCATAGGTTCCTTCAGAGCTCTCCGATCTGTTTCCTGCTGATCTGGTTCCATGGAGATAGTGTGTGTGTGTGTGTGTTACTAACACCTTTTCTGTACCATATGTTATTGTTTACACCTAAAAAATACTAGTGTACCACATTGATTACTTACAATGCACTAACTGCCTTTATAAGGCCAGATCATTAATAACAATTAGTGTTATTTGAACTGGGCCTCATGATACTAGTTTTTAAGCCCAAATCACTAAGTCTCCAAGAAGGAGCTAGTCTCATCGCGAGTTGGGTAGCCCGACGTGGTCGTGAGATCTAGACCACGTTGGCATCAAATCTAGAGCCCGACGTGGTCGTGAGATCTAGACCATGTCGGCATCAAATCTAGAGCTCTACGTGGTCATGAGATCTAGACCACTTTGGCTTCAAACTTAGAGCCTGACGTGGTCGTGAAATCTAGACTGCGTCGGCATCAACTTTAGAGCTCGACGTGGTCGCGAGATCTAGACCATCAAATTTAGAGCCCGGCGTGGTCATGAGATCTAGACCATGTCGGCATCAAATTTAGAGCCCGGCGTGGTCATGAGATCTAGACCATGTCGGCATCAAATTTTGAGCCCGACGTGGTTATGAGATCTAGACCACGTTGGCTTCAAACTTAGAGCTCTACGTGGTCATGAGATTCATGAGATCTAGACCACGTTGGCGTCAAACTTAGAGCTCTACGCGGTCGCGAGATCTAGGCCACATCGTGAGACCAAGCCCAAGATCCGAGCTAACAAGTTGGAAGTAAGAAGGCAAGTCATGTGGGAGAGGCAAGTAACAAGACGACAGTTTCAGGATGAAGAGCAGGCGGTTAACGGAGAAACTGCCGAGTATCCCACGTGCAATGACACGTCAGCCACGTCCGAGAAAGAAGGAGAGCAGTTCCTTTTGGAAGTTATTCTAAGACAGTTTCTACGACGGTTATCATCTCAAGGGCTATAAATAGGAGGAGGAGTCGACAGAGGAGGAGGTCGCCAAATTCACACCAGACAACACAATGTCTAATTTTATCTCTTTATCCTTTCCTCTGCAATTTTAGCCGTAGTCGTAGATCTGGAGCTCTCACTGAACCTCCATAGGAGTAGGGTAATTTAATTTAGATTCTGTCTCGTGAGTCGGGTAAACATCGAACACCCTCGTTCGAACTGTGTTTGAAGAGGTGTGAACCGTGTCTTAGTGATCGTTGTCCAAAGAAGTCAAGGTGCATTCAATTCGTTTCAACGCAAGTTTTTCTCACAGGAGAACAAAATTTGGCACACCTGGTGGGACACTTGTGTTTGATTTGATGGCTCCAAGACAGAGACAACAAGAAGGTGATCTCTCACCTGGGCTTGTGAAGAAGCACGTGGCTAAATTTGAATTTGGCCAAGAGATGAAAGATGTTGCCGTAAACAATGGCATGGTGGAGACTTCGTCACCGGCGGCACCAAGTGTTGATATAACCACCAACATCATGTTACTTCACAAGATAATGGAGGAAGACCGCAAGATGATGGCGGAGAACCGTCAAGCCTTGGAGGAAAACTACAAGATGATGATGGAGAACCATCAAGCCTTGGAGGAGAACCGCATGTTGAGGGCGGAGAACGTCCGAGCCATGGAGGAACATCGTCATTCCTTGGAGGGATGCCTAGTCAGCCTTGATCGTGGTACCCAACAAGTAAGCCTCCGCCTAGAATCTCTCACTTCTCATCTAGATAATCGTGTAAGTCAACTTATAGAGTTGGTTAACAAAAATAATGACGATTTCAATGATTTGAAAAACCTTTTGATAAAACAAGTGGTTCAATCAAGAGATTTGCCACTAGATGGTACAAACTCTTCTACTAATGACCAGAGTGGCCAACTATGGCAGAAGAGCTTGTCACCTCCAGTGGCAAGCAAACCACTCCCTCAATGTGAGAGTTGTGGTGAGAGGTCCACCTCCACTCTAAACACTAGTCATGGGGTCTTGCATGTACAAGGTGATGTTCAACCACTCGTTCTCGAGACAAGATCAGATGAGACACTTGTCAATGGACGAGATGGTGAAGATCCATTAAACGTGGAACAAGTACCACCACATGCTTGCCCACCCCCAAAGTCACCCCTATTGAGTGGACAAAGAGGCGATTCTGATGGACTCAACACACTTAGAGCTCAGCAAGGGGGGCATGAAAGTCTAACTTCCCACAAGTTGACGCCGAGATGTCCATCTAGGGGGCATGTGGTGTCTAAGAGGTCACATCAATCACAAGCAACACATGCTTGTGCTAAACATATTAATTTGGCTAAGTCTGGAAAGGGGGGCATGCCTCCAACCACTTGCAGTAGACATGGGAGCATATCTAACAAGTCACGACGTGAGAAAGCCATAAAAAGTTATTGTAGATTTGAAAATTTGGCTAAGTATGGACAAGACATGTCCAAGAAGCCATATGAAGTGCAAGTCACACATGTTTGCCATAACCATGCTAATTTGACTAAGTCTGGACAAGGGAGCATTTCACCTACCATGAAGAATGGAGTAGAGAGCATCTCCAAGAAGACACAAGAAGTCAAACCCCCACACGGATTTTGTAAGCGTGAGATTATGGATAAGGGTGGATTGGGGGGCAAGTCCATGTCAATGAATAGTAAGTACTCGACACCAACCACAAAGAGTGGACATGGGGGCATGTATAAGAAGTCACCATACACACCAGCCAAACATGGTTGCACCAAGAATCAATGGTGGTTGAGTGCTAAGTGTAGGGGCCAACAAGGTTTAGATGTTGAAAGACGAAGACAAGGAAGCTACACGAGTGGTTGTCGACTTGTCAAGTCTAGACTTGGTCCCCAACATTGTGAGGAGATTAAGCATGTATCAAGTGGGAGGAAATCAAGGCAGAATAATAATTATGATAGCCTTGACATCTCAAGTAAGATGGCCCAAGCAAAGAAGCATGAGACCTCATGCAAGGCCACCAAGACTAGACATGCTGACCATGTACCACCCATTACTAAGCTAGAAAATTCAAAGTTAATGTATGAAGATTTATCTCCCATGGAGGAAAAGAGTCATGTGGTCTATGGATGGCATGTCTGGTTTGATCCATGGACTTGGCAATGGGTTTACACCTTCGGTACATTGATTGTTGCCAAAGGCTATGGAGAGCAGTGACATTTGTCACTTCTTGCCATATAAAATAAATAAATTTATATAATGTACTTATTATATATTAGTTATAAAAAAATATTGTAGCCAAACGTGGCTAAAAGAAAAGATAGAAGGAAAATATCAAAGTGAAAATCTTGAGTTGGAGTTGTTAGACTTCGACATGAAGATCTTGCCACCAAGTCGTTGTAATGGCTTGACATGACGAGCCATACATCAGGCCATGCCATGCCATCTTATCTTGTCCCGAGTAGTCACGGCCTGGGGGGCATGATGGCTTGAAACGTGGTAGTAGAGGAGTGGTGACCAGAATGTCTCTACCAACATAAAAATGAACATTAGTTTGTCTAAGGCAAAAAAGTAGACGACTTGACTTGTCGCGAGGAAGCTGTCTAGCCTTGTGACGAGGTGAGATGAGCCAATCTATGCCAAACTAGCTGCGAAAAATTCTAAGTTATTCTCTCAACCATGTGGCAAAGTACGAAATGTCAATGAGGGTGTAGGTGATAAAGTGAGGTTGGTGTCTCGTTGAATGCATTAGGTGGCTTGACCATTAAAAGCCAAAATTTGGCTAAGGCATGGGACAAGTCATTGACGTCGAGTTCTATCCGGCCATGTTGGCATGATCATTAAAAGCCAAAATTTGGCTAAGGCATGGAACAAGTTTGGGCGTCAATTTCCATCTCGCCATGTTGGCTTGACGGGAAAAGCCAAAATTTGGCTAAGGCATGGAACAAGTTTTTACGTCAAGTTCCATCTCGCCATGTTGGCTTGACGCGAAAAACCAAAATTTGCCTAAGGCATGGGACAAGTTATGACCAGTGTTCCATCTGGACGTGTTGGCCTAATTATTGAAAGTCAAAATTTTGGCGAAGTAAAATTGGTGTGTTGATAAGCCAACACGTTACTTGGCTAGCTTGGTGGTGTTCAACTACTTAGTCCATAATTCTTATGCACTAAGTAGTTGGGGGGCATTTGTTTACACCTAAAAAATACTAGTGTACCACATTGATTACTTACAATGCACTAACTGCCTTTATAAGGCCAGATCATTAATAACAATTAGTGTTATTTGAACTGGGCCTCATGATACTAGTTTTTAAGCCCAAATCACTAAGTCTCCAAGAAGGAGCTAGTCTCATCGCGAGTTGGGTAGCCCGACGTGGTCGTGAGATCTAGACCACGTTGGCATCAAATCTAGAGCCCGACGTGGTCGTGAGATCTAGACCATGTCGGCATCAAATCTAGAGCTCTACGTGGTCATGAGATCTAGACCACTTTGGCTTCAAACTTAGAGCCTGACGTGGTCGTGAAATCTAGACTGCGTCGGCATCAACTTTAGAGCTCGACGTGGTCGCGAGATCTAGACCATCAAATTTAGAGCCCGGCGTGGTCATGAGATCTAGACCATGTCGGCATCAAATTTAGAGCCCGACGTGGTCATGAGATCTAGACCATGTCGGCATCAAATTTAGAGCCCGACGTGGTCATGAGATCTAGACCACGTCGGCTTCAAACTTAGAGCTCTACGTGGTCATGAGATTCATGAGATCTAGACCACGTTGGCGTCAAACTTAGAGCTCTACGCGGTCGCGAGATCTAGGCCACATCGTGAGACCAAGCCCAAGATCCGAGCTAACAAGTTGGAAGTAAGAAGGCAAGTCATGTGGGAGAGGCAAGTAACAAGACGACAGTTTCAGGATGAAGAGCAGGCGGTTAACGGAGAAACTGCCGAGTATCCCACGTGCAATGACACGTCAGCCACGTCCGAGAAAGAAGGAGAGCAGTTCCTTTTGGAAGTTATTCTAAGACAGTTTCTACGACGGTTATCATCTCAAGGGCTATAAATAGGAGGAGGAGTCGACAGAGGAGGAGGTCGCCAAATTCACACCAGACAACACAATGTCTAATTTTATCTCTTTATCCTTTCCTCTGCAATTTTAGCCGTAGTCGTAGATCTGGAGCTCTCACTGAACCTCCATAGGAGTAGGGTAATTTAATTTAGATTCTGTCTCGTGAGTCGGGTAAACATCGAACACCCTCGTTCGAACTGTGTTTGAAGAGGTGTGAACCGTGTCTTAGTGATCGTTGTCCAAAGAAGTCAAGGTGCATTCAATTCGTTTCAACGCAAGTTTTTCTCACAGGAGAACAGTTATTGTTGTTATTAGTTCGAAAGGACCAATGACCATGAAATCTACAATTCTTAACATATGTGTAATATCCCAGGGTGCTTCCCTGCTCTCCTCTTTCCATCCACCTCTTGCTCTTCTGATCAGTGATTTCTGGAAAAGCGTCCTCTCTGTGTCTCTTTCTATAATGTCAGTGTTATTTTTGAACTATGACGCAGTAAAGATTTACCTAGGGTTTGTATTTTGTTCTTGTAGAAGACAGTATAAGAATGTGTGTAATATCATGTATTCTGCAAATACATGGGTTTTCTACCAGATTCATACCAGAAAACAATAGATTGATAGAAACTCACAGGTAACAATCCTGACTGGTTGTTGCATAACTTCTAATCCATCTAGTTTAGTAATCTCAACCCACTATTGATATCTCCTAGTTCACAAGGTTGTTACTTTTCTGGACTGATAGGAAACCTCACAAGGCTAAGCAAAATTCTATTGTGAGCATTATGCTCTGTAGCACATCTGTTCCTCATTACTACTCTTCTCGATGTCGTGACTACTCTTCCTGCAAGCAATGGGCAGCGACTTGCCTTTGTATGCGTTGCAGACATATGACACAAACTTCTTGTACTCCTGCACCACCCAGTTTCGAGTAAGTAACGGCAACTCAACAGCATCAGAAAACTTGAGGAATTTCTGAGATATGGCTAACCTGAGCCAGAGGGATGCCGTTGACAGTGACCCAGGGTACACCTCGAAGTGGCGGCTTGAGATGGGTAGTGTCGTAGCCATACTTCAGCAGCAGCTTCAGACCCACAAGTCCAAAATCAGGTTAGTTATACATTGAAGTTGAAGTTTTTTTACGAGTTCAAAAAGGAGTTGCATATTTTTTTTCTTCACACAAACACTGCGTGTTTCACCTTTTCCCCCATCCCGCTATTGGAGCAATGCTCGATGGGTGATTTTGGAAACTGCAATTTGTCGACACAATAAGTCCATACAGCTGATGGGTTACTACTCATATTATTAGCTGCTTGTTGCTCTTCTTCTTCTTCTTCTTCTTCTTCTTCAGTGCACTTGATGATGTCGAACATGTAAGGTTGCCTCTGCAGCAGCAGCCATCAAACCTTAGCTGGGCATACCATTCTCATGTTCCCCAAAGAAAGAAAGAAAAGTAAGTGGATTCAGGAGGGGTTATTTACCGCGACGGCAATTATGCAGGCGTGTATTCTGTTGAGCAAGCATTCATCTTCACCGTGTTGACAAACGATTGTGGAGCCAATGCTGTAGGCATTGCCCCAAGGGACGAGCCTGAGATTGACGATGTTGACGAGATCGGAACCCATGGCTTCGGCTAGAGGATGAATGATGAAGTCGCGGCAGTAGGGGCAACCTGTTTCGTAATACAGGGTCAAGTTCACCTTGTCCGACTCGTAAGAATAAGATTGAGGTGGAGAGAGGAGTAGCAGAGACAAGAGGAGAAGGAGCAATGGGAGGAATGGTGGGGAAGCCATTGCCTGTTGGGTTTTTTTCTCTTCTTGGGGTCTGTCTTCAATAGAGAGATGAATCGAACTAGAAAGCGTGAGGGATAATATGGCAAGGGGGTTGACAGAGAGAAAATGCAGTGTGAGTAGTTGATAAATGATAATGATGATGATCTGCTACTGGTACCGGCTTTAAATGTGGTAGTTGTCGAGCGAACAATCCTACAGATCTCTGTTATTACTACATCGCAAACAATTTGTTTGTTGCTTTTGTTGCTCACAGTTGCACTTTTTGTATGTGAAAATATAGAGCACGAGGCTTTCATTTTTAAATTTTGGAGAAATAGCACGAGGCATAAATAAATTGATGTAAGATTAGAGTGGCATATTCAGTCATGGATTTATGGTGGGTGGGAAACCTGTGGAATGATTTGAAATATAGCTTCACCTAAATCTCACTTTTGACTTCCGGATTAAATAAGACGCAACTGATTTTTGGGTGGGCAACAATTTGATTCATGCTAAATATATTGAATTCGCTTTTAATCTTATGAATTCTGTAAAGATAGACAAAAAGTGGAACCATCTGTCATTCAAACTAAGAATGATAAAAAAAATAAAAACTCATAATTTAAGTACCGTCGAGACCCAATTTATTATGGACAAATGAAGTTTGGATAAAATTATATTTGGGCATACCCAACTTTTTATTTTGGATCTAAATCAGATTCATTATATTGGGCACCCAAATGAAAATGGATACTCAACATTCTTTTGACGAAACAGATACTTGTATTACCAAGAAAAACAAAGTTACAATAACTCGACCTCCGAACACAACCACACCCGGAAATCAAAACCATTCCCCCTTAGGAAACAAATCCAAAGCTTTTTTGGCCACCACATGGTCATCCTATTGTTCTGTCTACCTGCGAACTGACGCAGAAATCAAAATGATAACCGAGGAGCCGACGAATTTCTTGAAAACTAGCTCCAGCCTTCAGATCCCTAGTGACTCCGGCATTTATCTTGTCAATCAAAATGGATACTCCCTCTAACGTGATTTTTGTATTTTTTTTTTGTTCTAAAACAAACATAAATATGGTAATATCAACATTGAAGGGTTGGGTGCATAATCCGGGTTTTGCACTTATGCATAACTAAATTTTGCCTCTTGATTTTAAGTGGAGTCAGATATAAGGTGCGAGATTAAAAGACCTTTTATTTTCACCATTTTTTAATTGATTTCTACTTTCTTTGCTTTAACTTGGATTTCAAAAAAATTTGCGCAGATGTAATGAGTTTGTTGTGGTCTACAAAATGATATTTATTTTTAATATATTTTGAGACAAAAACATTTCATAGCACAGGTTACTTCACTAAAACCACTTTGTATTACCTACATTTTTAACTCAAATTTTGAAAAAATTTGCACAAAAGGAACGAGTTCGTCATGATATTTGCGATCTACAAATTTTAGAGGCATAAAATTTCAAGACCAAATATAGAACCTTACACCACCCTGTTTAATAGTGTGGTAACTAGTGGTAGATGGTGATTAAAGATGGTAAGTGTATATTAGTATATTACTACGATAATGTATATTATTCTTCACCATGATATATCAATACTATCATGGTACACTTCCATACCACCATTGTGTATAATATTACGTACTACCAAGTATTACCACCATTATAGAATGGAAATATATGTCTCAATCTTTTTTTGTTCAAAAATATATAAAAATGAATGTCATTTTGCAGAGCATGATTAATCTAATTTTCCAATGCAAAAAGGATTGGATTACAACTTAAAATGAAAGAGATATAACCCGTTAAAATTAATTGTGGGAAAAGTTATATATGTCACAAGGACTATTAATGGGTTATTGATTCGAGCCATTTTATACACGTTTAACCCCATTTACTTAGTTGTTTGGCATGCTTCGCATTGTCCTTTTAGCCATTTTATGCTAGTTTTGGTCTTGTATTGACATGTTTCACACTTGAGCAGGTACAATGGGCTAAAGGATCGAAAGTCGGATGAAAGGGACCGAAAAGGGGAAAAACGATGGAAGATACACAGATCATGGTCTGGAGGAGATCATGGGCAGAGACCGTGACGTTAGCGGAGAAACCGTGACCTATGCAAAGTTTGAGGAGCTTCTGACGTTCGCGGGCAGCGCAAGGATCACGGTCGCAGACCGTGAAGTTTGCACAAAAATGGCGCACTTTCATCCTAGATCATGGTCTGCCTATTGATGTCACGACCGTGAAGTCTGACCATGACACGTGCACTCGAGGCTATAAATAGCCAGTTGGGGGAAGAAGAAAGGGAGCTTGGTTTTCCTTAGGGTTCTGACCCAAAATACCAAAGAGACATTTCTAGAGAGAGGGGGGATCTAGAGTGATCTCGGAGCTGAATTGGAGGCTCTGATTGAGATTGGAGTTTAGGAATCAATCCTAGAAGATGAAGATCTTGCGCTTCTTGTTGTATTTTCTCTTCTTTCTATGCTTAGCTCTCTTCTATTAGGTTGATGAATCCTAGGTATAGATTTTGATTTGATTGTTGATGTATGTGACATATCCTGTGATTATGAACTCCTATTATCTATTTGATTGATGTTTATGATGAATTGCATGAGTATTGATCCCACTACATGTCAAATGAGCTTTTGATCTAGGAGGGAGAATATCCCCTAATGTTGAATAAAGCACCTTCAATCCTTCACTATGGGTCTTTGATACGAAAGTAATAAGTTACATCTATAAGGTTAGTCTTAATCACTATTCTTGCCTAAGTGAGCTCTCAGACTTGTAATTAGCTAGACTAGTGGTTATGTAAGTGTATTTAGGTTAGTCTTAATCACTATTTTTGTTTGGCTAGATAACAAACTCAAGTCGAAGTAAGATACATCTAAAGACCCGTGTTTCAAAATTTTATTAGGGTTAATATATTTGTCTGGTCCGAACTTTTCCCATATTTAACATTATGGCCAATACTTTTGGTATTTAACACCGTGACCCAAACTAATTCTGCACTTTACTAATTTGGCCAAACTCGAGAGTCGACGTTAACTTTGATGGTGAAGACCGTTGACTAGCGTCAACCCGCCATGTCATTGCCCAGTCAGCATATATAAACTTAAAAATTTCTAAATTCCATATATTCCATAATTTTAAATTATTATAATTAATATAAATAAATTATTTCTATAATGCCTATTAGTTACCATTTAAATGAAAAATGAATCCAATGCTCCTTCTCTCTCTACTTCATTTTTTTTTACCCCGAAAGCGCCCAAAATTCAGGAACAGATCAGGTCAATAAACTTATGGTGAGTAACCATGAGTAATCCGTTCACATCAGCATGACATCAACATCCTTCTCTATCTTGGAAAGTCTTTAATTTTCTCCTCCTTAATCTTTGACGGAAGATTTCTCGCTCATTTTAAGTCGATTTTTTTTGCACAGTTAGATCAGATTAATTGTGCTCTTCAAAATGATATCCACTTTGATATATTTTTCGAACAAAAAAATTGAGCCATTTTTTACCAGTCTATACCATATGGTATTGACTGATATTGAAATAAGAGCATACCTATGGTTTGAAAAGCGTACCATGGTGGTATGAACAAACCAAGACTATAGGAAGGTTGAATACATGATAGTAGAAGTATATTAACTGTCATTTATGACTTTTAACATTGCGTACCACAATATACCACCTCGTACTAGGGTGGTATTATGTGGTATTGTGTAGTATTTTTTGGTTCTGTAATTTGTTCACCCAGAAATTTGTAGATCCAATAGATCATGATGAACTCGTTCCTTCTGTGCAAACGTTTTCAAAAACGATTAAAACGAAGAAGATATCATATGTTATGCAGTTCGTACCAAAAGGCAATAATTTTTTTTCTAAAAAAATATTAAAAATAGATATCATTTTATAGAGCACAACGAACTCGTTCCATCTGTGCAAAAAAAATTCAAATCCGAGTTAAAACGAAGAAGATATGAGCCGATTAAGAAAGCTAATGAAAATAAAAATGACATTTAATTCTCCATCCTTAGATCTGGATTTTCTAAATAAAGGGTTCAGATTTAGTTATTGATGGGTGCATAACCCCATGGTTATGCACCCATCAATAACCAAATATGGACCCTTCATTTAGAAAATCCCGATATAAGGATGGAGAATTAAAGACCATTTTTATTTTCCCTAGCATTTTTAATCGGCTCATATCTTTTTCGTTTTAACTTGGATTTTAATTTTTTTTTTGCACAGATGAAACGAGTTCATTGTGCTCTACAAAATGAGATCAATTTTAAATATTTTTTGAGACAATTTTTTTTGGTCTCTCGATACCAACTGCATACCATATGGTATTTTCTTCATTTTTAATTCGTTTTTGAAAACGTTTGCACAGAAGGGACGAGTTCATCATGATCTATTGGATCTAAAAATTTCTTGGTGAACAAATTACATGACCAAAAAATACCACACAATACCATACAATACCATATAATACCACCCTGGTACACAATGATAAAAGTCGTAAATGACAGTTAATATACTTCTACTATCATGTATTCAACCATCCTACAGTCTTGGTTTGTTGATACCACCATGGTACGCTTTTCAAACCATAGGTATGCTCTTATTTCAATACCAGTCAATACCATATAGTATAGACTGGTAAAAAATGGCTTATTTTTTTTGTTCGAAAAATATATCAAAGTGGTTATCATTTTGAAGAGCACAATTAATCTGATCTAACTGTGCAAAAAATCAAATTTCGACTTAAAACGAGTGAGAAATCGTCCGTCAAAGATTAAAAGGGGAAAAATTAAAGGCTTTCCAGGAGAGAGAGGGATGCTGATTTCATGCTGATTTGGGCTGGTTACTCATGGTTACTCACCATAAGGTTACTGACCTGATCCGTTCCCACCATAGCCTTTCCCTCCTATTGCTCGCTACCGTTGTTGGTCCCTCGAAATGATTGTTGCTGCTCACTCGCCGCTACTGCTCACTTGTAGGAGGAGACGGAGAGGAGGATGCAATTATCGACTAGGTCGAATTGGAATAGGGAAGCGTTGGATTGCAGCAGCGTCACGGGATGAGGAAGGCCTTCAATTTGGGCAGCGGCAGAGCAGGGAGGGGTTCTCTTCCTCTTCCTTTTCCATTCCGACTCTCAGCGAAGCAGAGAATCAGAATCCTGGCGAAGTAGAGAAGCAGATCCAACCAAAGGAGCGGGAATCCGAAGGAAACGGCGTTCCGGCTGGAGTAGATCGAGGCAATGGCGGATCAGGCGGTGAGGTATTGTGATCACGAAGCAGGGGTCTTAAGTTGTAGCTGATCGGCGTTCCGGCGGAAGGATCTCGAGGCGAATGGACGGGGAGATTATATTTCTCAATTTTTGTTTTAGTTTTTGAATTTAATTATAATAATTTTTAAGTTTATTTATGTTGATTAGGCAGTGACGTGGCGGGTTGACCGTTAGTCAACGACATTGTCCGTCAAAATTGACGGTCAATTCTCGGGTTTTGCCAAATTAGTAAGGTGCAGGGTTAGTTCGGGTCACGATGTTAAATACCAAAAGAATTGGTCAGGATGTTAAATATGAGAAAAGTTCAGGTTAGACAAATATATTAACCCTTTTTATTACTTGTTTACCGTAGGCTACACGTAGTTGTTGGTTATACTTGGTCCTCGATTGGGAAGTTGTAGTTAGAGAAAACCAAGTTTTTGCCAACATTGCCAGGGAAATTCTAGGTTATCGGGAAATGGCTTGGGTTTGTAACCTTAGCTGTTTTTGTGTTTCATTTGTGTTGTATTAACCCATTTTTTGACTTAAAGGATTGTTTGTGTGAGCTTGATTTATTTGGGTTAATACCTTATTTTGTCCTGAACTATGACCATATAATCAACTTTGCTTCGTGGTTTTAGAAATTACCATCCTGGCCTCAACTATGCAGCATATAAACTGAATGGGCCCGTAAGAATGGTTTGACCGTCAATTTGAACGGTCTACACTGTTGACCGTCAATTTGAACGGTCTACACTGTTGACCGTTAGTCAACTGTCCAGGTCACTGCCATGTCATCGCTAAACAAAATTTCACATAATAAATAATGAGTAAAATAATTAAATAATGAGAAAAAATCTCATCATAAATAATGGTTTGACCAAACCACCTCTCAAAAGAATTCGAAGACGGGTTCACACTTTACACCCTCCACCTCACCGCTTCCTTATCCCTCTGATCTCATCCTCCGCCGTCGCTAGCCTCCTTTCCCCATCTCTCTACCACTGCTTTCTATCGCCGTTTCCCCACTGTTTCCCCTTTCCCCATCTCTGAAAATACTCCCTCATCAACAGTACTGTAACCCAAAACCTTTTTCGATAAACATCTCCCAAATTTCCCAGAACCCTAACTCGTGCCCAAACTCCCCTCTCAAATTTCGCTCTCCTCTAGTTTCCCCACCCAAGTTTCTCTATTCCAGACTCCTCCAGATTCCAATTCCAATATATCCCACCAGTCAAAACCCTAGAATTGAATCCATCTCTCTCTCTCTCTCTCTCTCTCTCTCTCTCTCTCTCTCGTCTGCGCTTCCTTCACTTTTCCAACTCCACAGCCAGGCAATCAAATTTTCAGCCAGTTAAAGTTGCAATTCGGTACAAGCATCCCCCGGCGTCAAAGGCGCCATGAAGACGACGTGGATCTTGTGCTTGAGGGCATGAGGGACGAGATTGTGGATTGGCTGAGATTTGATTCAACTCCTATACCTTATAGGAGAGAGAGAGAGAGAGAGAGAGAGAATTTTTTAGTGATCCCGCCTATACTCCCTCTCAGATTCAACCTCACGTCAAACGAATCCCTGCCGCCGCAGCAGGAGGGGCGCTAGAGGCAGCGTGTTGTTCCCTGGCCGCCATCCCTGCCGACGCCGCAATTAATATGAGCTCGTCAGCGGTGGGATCAGAGTCCATTGGGGAGACGTGGCCGGGGGAGAGGATCTTACGGGGGTCAATCTTGCCGATAAAGTTCAACTTCAAGCTCTCAGGCGAGTCGTACGGGAGCGATTGAAATGGGATATGGAAAAAAGAATAAATACTAGGGAGGGATAAGAGTGGTCGCCACTCGCTAGATTCATGTGTTCATGGCCACTTTTTATTTTATATTTATTTTATAATTTAATTAATTTGAAAATGATAAATAATAGAAATTAAGAAAATAATTTGAATTTAAATTTTTTTAATGATTTTTAGGCTGACAAGGCAATGACATGGCATGTTGAATAACGGTCAACACGATCAAACCATGTGTCTGGCCAATTGAGTTTATATGCTGCATAATTGAGTCAGGATGTTAATTTCTAAAACCACGGGCCAAAGTTGGTTATATGGTCCTAGTTCAGGCCAAAATAAGGTATTAACACACTTTATTTTTAGTGTATTTGTGTTTGTAACTTGTAAGTACTGAATCATGGATTCTTATGATTTCACCAAAGTGTAGAGGTATCCACCACCACCCGATAGTGATTACCCTGCAGCTTCATGGGACGATCAAGATGGCGGAAGCCAAAGATTCTGGTTCTATTACCAACCTCCCTCCCACAAAGAAACACCATACCATTGGGGATTTAAAGAATCTTCCCCATATCAAAAAGACTTCCTTCCACAATCGGAGCCTAAGAGCCCAATTTGTGCACGCCTTCATCTCTTACTACTGGAAGAGAGAGACGATCAATGGCAACCGCGTGGAGCAAGAATAACTCACCTTGGAGAGCTCCCATGGAGAGGATGACTAAGAGTGTTGCATTAATTAATTTCACACATTTCCCCTTCTCGATTAAAACTTTCAAGACCAAGTGTCGAGGGTTGCACAACATGATGAACTTATCAAAGACATGGCTTGGCAACTTGCTATCCGTCATGTGCTTGAGAAAGAGCGAGAAAGGTTGAGAGAAAGGGTTGAGGAGGAGGAAGTAAGCATTGAAGAAGAGGAAGATCTTGGTTGTTCCCAAAGAGAGGATCAAATTAAGGAAGAAGGAAGGGAGGTTGAGGAGGACGAGGTCGCGGTAGATGAAGGTTCTACAAGTTACAAGTGCTACCAAAACTTTCCACCTGCCTTAATGCGCTTCTCGAAAGGACCTCTTTGTAGCTTTTTGCCAAGCCAAGGCCACACCATCATTGATCCATCTTGGCGGATGTGATGGTGGTCAATCCATGATGTCCTACATGGTATGGGGAAAAGAGAAGAAAGAAGAAGAAAAGAAGAAGAAGAGGTCTTGTGGGTGGAGCCTCAATTCACACCAAGTTTGTGAGCCATTTACATCATTTGAAGCATCTCATGCTTGGGGCTTGCAACTCCACATCACCGACGATAACCTCAATTTTCAAGGAAGTCTATGGCCGTAATGTTGCGCTGCCCGCGAACTGTCGGAAAGTTCCTTGAACTTTTTAGAGGTCACAGTTTATCCGCTGACTTCACGGTCTCTGCCGTGATCTTCTCCTCCGCACCGTGATTTATGCATCTTCCATTGTTTAGCCCCCTTTTCGATCCCTTTTAGGGATGGCGATTAAAACCGCCAGACCGGGTATCCATCCGAACCCAAACCGGTCAATGCGGGGAAAACCCGAGTTGACTGGGTTTGGATCGGGTTCGGGCAAAACCCGAAAGTTCAATTCACGGGCATGGGCTGGGCATGGATATTATGATATCCGAACCAAACCCGCCCGATATTACTAATGAACCCTGCTATTCCTATTCCCTTACATCTTACCCCTGTCCACATTCCACACAAATCCCTATTCCCATCGGCCATCACTCCTTAGTTTTCCCCAATCCCCAATTTCGTGTGCGACCGAAATTCCCGGCCATGATCATTCCTCTCGATTCTCGCAACTCGACTCTTCGTCTTCAGTGTTCTCAGAGGCAGAGCCGAGCCAACCATTCAATGCCCTGTCCTCCCTCGTTTCTTTCTTCTTCGTTAAATGACTTCTGCTCAAGAAGGTTTCCACTTTCCAGTCACGTCACGTTGGCAACTAGAGCGGCAGCTAACAACAATACCACATCTTGCAGCAAGAGCCAAGAGAGAAGAGAACTTCTGTTACAATCTTACAGAGGTTAGATTTTTAATTTCTTCCTCTTTCTGCCACTGTGACCTGCGTTTTCGATTTCAATTTCTGGGTTCAATTTTCGATTTATGGGTTCCAAATTTTGGGTTCATTGACGAGTCCATGACCCACTGTGAAAGTGATGCGATCCTCCGTAATTATAATCTTCTTCTTCTAATTGTGTTTTCTGGATTTTTCTTGAAGGTTGGAGCAGTGCATGCTGGAGCAATTGTTGCGTACTGCGGCACCGGCACAGCGGTAATAAGGTCTCTTTGCGTCCTTTTCAATAGTGCAGGGGGGCTTTTTGATTTTTTAGTTTGGGTTTAGGGATATGAGTGGAGTCACCAAGGAACAGGCAATCAGTTATTTGCCGTTGCTGCACTAGGAAAAAGCTTATGGTATAAGGGATGAGCTAGTTCTTTGTTAGTCAAATGTTCTACTTGGTTAGACAGAAAGATGCTAGCTGTATGCTCTTTTTTCTTCACTATTGAAGAACTTTGACAATTTGAGAATGTTGCTGCTATGTTTAATTTTACTGAACTTTATGTAAGTAACTAATATTTACAGCTTTTGTATTCATTTGCAGGTGAAAAATGGGTCAAGAGGATGCAGTTGCTTCTAATCCTTAACTACAAAATCAACAGACTGCTGGTACTAATCTAGAACAACAAAATCAGGAGGCTACCAATACTAATCCAAAAGCACAAAATCCACAACCCGCACCTGTTGTTGATGATGAAGGGGTTATTGATTTGGGAAATCTCAAGAGTGATGTGTGGCAGCACTTTATAAAGATAAGAAAAGGAGAATTCATCAAAGCTAAATGCAGTCATTACAAGAAGTTGCTTGCTGGTGAATCTAATAACGGTACCTCTCACTTGAGAAATCATCTCAAGACTTGTATACAAAAAAAGATTCAAGATGGGAAGCAAAAGGTACTTGGTGCTAACTTTGTCACTAAGGGAAAGAAAGAAATGGTTGCTACTCAATTTAATGAAGCTGTTCCGAGGCAAGATCTTGTTATGGCCATTCTTATGCATGATTATTCCCTGTCTATGGTGGATCATTTGTACTTTATGAGATTCATATCTGGCATCCAACCCTTGTTTAGAGTTCCTACTAGGAATACTCTCAGAAGTGACATTTTTAAGATATATAATAGTGAGAAGAGGAGGATCATGAAATTGGTTGGTAGTAACAAAGGGAGGGTTGCCATTACAACTGATATGTGGATGACAATCAACCAGAAAAAGGGTTACATGGTTGTTACGGCCCATTATGTGGACAATTTGTGGATTCTTCGAAGTCAATTCCTTAGGTATGTTATTTAGTATATAATTTGAATTCTATCTTATTTATTTTGTGAGAAAGAGTCACTATCTTAACATTTGCAAATGCTGTTTTTTTTAGGTTCGCATATGTTCCTACTCCTCACACAAGTGATAGGCTTGCCACTGCTTTGTTTGACAGTATGATGGACTCGAATGTCGATTCCAAGGTATCAACTATAACCTTGGATAACTGTAGCACTAATGATTCCATGATTGAGAAGGTTAAGAACAAATTGGTGATGCCTTGTTTGATTAAGGGGGGGTGTTTTACTACATATGAGGTGTTCTGCACATATTCTCAACTTTATAGTTAAAGATGGGTTGGATGTGCTTCGAGATGGTATTGAAACAATTCGTGAAAGTGTATCTTATTGGACTGCTACACCTAGGAGGGTAGAGTTATTTGAGGGGGCAGCAAAGCAATTGGGATTTTCTTGTGATAAAAAGCTGAGTTTGGATTGTCCAACTCGCTGGAATTCAACTTATCTTATGCTTTTTGCTGCCATACCGTACCAAAACGTGTTTATTAGGCTGAAGCAACGTAACTCTCACTATACTTGTTTGCCTACTAGTGATCATTGGGCATTTGCATCAATTGTTTGTGGGAAGTTGGAAATTTACAGTGAGATATCTAATTTGTTCTCTGGTACCAAGTATCCCACCGCCAATCTATTCTTTCCAAAGATATGTGATTTGAAGCTCAAACTTTATGAGTGGCTTGTTGATGATAATGCTATGATTTCCAAGATGGCTGAATTGATGTGAGATAAGTTCTTAAAATATTGGGGGTCATATTCATGAAATACTAGCTGTGGCTGTTGTGTTGGACCCGAGATACAAGCTTCATATTGTGGATTATTATGCTCGGAAGTTTGATAAGGGGCAGTGTGTCTTGGATGTGGACAAAGTCAGGGCTGTTTTGAGTGATTTAATCGTGGAATACCAGGCTAAACAGAATAAGAATGCCATGGTTGCTTCTGGTGGTTCAAGTGATCACTCACTTGGTAGTTCTTCCTCTGTGGATCTCGACTTTCAGCTATTTGTACAACAAAGAAAAAAGTCAAGAGGAACACCAACTCAAACTTATTTGGAAAATTATTTGAATGAGGAAATCTTACCTTGGACTACTGACTTCGACATCTTGTTTTAGTGGAAGATGAATGGGGTTAAGTATCCAATTTTGCAAGATATTGCGAGGGATATGCTTGTTGTCCATGTTACCTCTGTTGCATCTGAATTGGCTTTTAGCAACGGTGGTCGAGTGTTGAATCCTAATCGTTGCAAACTTGGCTACACCACTATGGAGGCATTAATGTGTACTAAAAGTTGACTGCAAAATTCAATTTCAATAGGTATATATCTTATTCAATAGTTTTTACTAACTTATTAGTTATCTTTATATAACTTCTCTTCATTCACTTGTATTAATTATTTTCTGATCCTAGAAGCTTTGGAAGAGATTTGTGCATTGCTCAATGACGAAGATCATGAAGATGACATTGAATGTTAGTAATCTGTCATAATGTTAATAGTATACTATATATGACAATTGAAAATGCTCATGTATCTTCTTTCTTGTTTATCCATGAAGATCAAGCTTTGGGGAATGAAAATGCACCTTATCAATTGATAGAAGATTAATGAATGATGGTTTCTTGTGTTGAGAGTGTGCTGGAGTTTTGCTGCTAGAATGTTTCTGAAAATAGCTGCTGAAGTACTTTTGCTGGAAATCTGCTTTTTCTGGATATATTGTTGCTGGAATTTTCTGGGATATGTTGGGATCCTTCAGGAGTTTGCTGGAATGTTTCTGGAATTTTGTTGCTGAAGTTTTTTTGCTGGAAATCTACTTGTTTGCAGGGTATATTGTTGCTGGAATTTTTTGGAATCAACTGGAATCTGTCTGGAATTTTGTTGGGATTTATCGGAGGGTTGCTCCTGGACTTTTGCTGCTGGAAATCTTCTTCTCTCCTGTAATTTTGCTACTGGAGTTTGATGGAATGTTGCTGGAGTGTGCTGAAATTTTTCTGGAATTTTGCTGCTGAACTTTTTTGATGAAAAACTGGTTGAAATCTGGGATTTTCTTATTGTACACTTTGAAATTGGTTTACATGTAGCCTTTTGATGTGGGTTATTTTATTTGTGTGAAAGACTTATTATTATGTTAGTTCTCATTAAGTATTTCATATTTGGTTTTATTTTGTTATGATTTGTTCATTGTTTTATGAACAAAAAGGGAAGAAAGAACAATTGGGATCTCGGCGGGTATCTGTGGGTCGTTCGGGCATACCCGATACCCGCTCGGGTACGGGTATGGTATAGGATTTACTATCCATGCTCCTACTTCGGGCGTGTTTCTGTATACCCGGATATCTTCACGAGCGGGGATTGGATACCCACTATCTGTACCCAACCCGACTCATTGCCAAACCTAATCCCTTTCGTTCGACTTTTGATCCTTTTGCCCATTATACCTGCTCATGTCTGAAACATGCCACAACAAGACCAAACCTAGCGTAAAATGGCTCAAAGGACATTGTAAAAATATATCAACAACCAAGTAAACGAGGTATAAACATGTAGTAAATGGGTCGAATCAGTTTTGCAACATAGAGTTACTAACTGAATCAATCTCACATTGAAGGTGTGAATTGGACATGGTTAATAATGATATTTCATGTCTATAATTATACAAATCCAGATACTCTTTTAGGTCGGACCCAAATGAGTTGTCCCAAATTGGAACCGATCCAAACTCAACCCAAACCCAAAATTATTAAGAATGCATATGAGTCTGTTTGAGTCCAACCTAATAACCATATGGATCATGGTAATTGGGTCCAATTATCCAATGAGTAAACCCACTGCCATCCCTAATTAGAACGAGGGAGTTTTTTTTACAACTAGTACTAGGAATTATTTCAAATACAAAATTGTGAAGGTCTACAATTAGTAGGTCTTGGTTCTTGATAAAAGAGCAAGGTGATTAGAGAACTGAATATATGTGTTACAAAGTCTTGATTATCAATTTGTTTACTTTGGTGACCTTGATTACATCTGGAACGTCCGGTGCGTGCCATGAAATCTTTGGAAGACTAGATAGTAACAAAGGAAACCCTTGAACCATTAAGGGGAGAGGGGAACACAAAACAAGCCCTAGCACGAAGGTCGTTGAGGAACAAGATTATGATGTGGTGATGATGGAGGTGGTACGAAATCTAGGGTTGGTGGGATGATTGATGGCTCCAAAAAAATGTACGATCGATGAAGATAATCCTCGCAACGACTTGGAACTTATGTAAGGGTTTCGAGATTACGAATTTGGGGATCCATTTTTTGCTTTCTAGTTACTGGAACAAATTGATTGAGAATTTTTTTTTTGTGGTGGCTCATGGTTTCATGTAGTAATCTTATGATTTTCAAGACAGTAGGCATATTTTACATAAAGGATATTTGGCTACGAATATACATCCTATATGTGGAATTGTGCAACCCCAACAATGGCGGAGAAGCTGGCTGCGAACAAGCAATCAACCTGTTATCTATAGCAAAGACAACAATGAGATATATATAGATGAATGAGACTCTAATGGAAAGGAAATCACTGCTTAATAAATATGAAATTATAGAGAAGTACATAAAAATGGTAAACATGTTAGTGTTGTGGTATATGATCCACGACTAAACCTCTCCCAACAACTCGAGTTATTGGGACCAACTGGTTCTTTAGATGGTATCAGAGCCTTCTGTGACCGAGAGGTCTTGTGTTCGATTCCCGGTGACCCCCATTTGTTAAGCACATGGTATTCTTGTCTTCAGACCTGTGCAAACTTCAAGCCCTTGTGAGTGGCTTTCGTTTGAGGGGGCGTGTTACTATTGTGGTATATGATCCACGATTGAACCTCTCCCAACAACTCGAGTTATTGGGAGCAACTTGTTATTGACATGGTATCAGAGCCTTCTGTGACCGAGAGGTCTTGTGTTCGATTCCTGGTGACCCCCATTTGTTAAGCACATGGTTCTTGTCTTCAGACCTGTGCAAACTTCAAGCCCTTGTGGGTGGCTTTCATTTGAGGGGGCGTGTTAGTGTTGTGGTATATGATCCACGATTGAACCTCTCCCAACAACTCGAGTTATTGGGATCAACTGATTCTTGACAAAATGAACCCTAGAGAGAATCAAGGAGAGACTAGAAAAAGAAAAGATGGAGAAAATGAAAGATGTTCCTACTAGCCAAATTATAGTAAAAGAGATAGGTAAAGTTTGATTACCACAAATGAAGGAAGATAAGATTGTTTTATAAATGGGGATTTCAATCATAATATATTAAGCAAAGGGGTTGAAAACATCAAGGTCCTAGAAGAAAAGAGAGTCTAGACAATGGATGACCCAACTTACTCCCATGTAAGCAAGATATAGAGGATTCACATAGAACTATAGAGACTGAATGGAAATCCAAAAGATTCAAGGATAAAGAAACCGAAGACACCATCTTTACCTATTGATTACAAAGCAATTGAAGTGAAGAATCTTTCTATTAAGATGACACAAGAACAAGAGCACTCTCAAGTTAATACACTAAGCAAGGGTCTCACATTTGTTAACACCATAAACAAAATAAATATGGATGGGGTAAAGGCCGATCATGTACAATAGGTCCGCACATCTCAATGAGGATTCTAAGATACAATTTTCAGGGATTGAGGATTCCCTAGAAAGTGGTTTTCATCATGAAAAGAGTATGGATGGAAGGACATAGTAACAAAGTTGGGTTGGGAGAATTGCCACAAGTTAAGTCTATGAAATGGTCAGGGGATTATTAATGATGTAAATGAATAATATTATTTAGAGATCATATCATATTTGCTCCATCACATAGATATGACAGTGGTTGGTTGCTAATGACTACTAATCCTAACCAAGGCCAAATGTAACCAATCGTAGGAATTGCAGTATAGTTGCACAAGTTTTAATATTGAATCCATGGGCCCCTAGATGTACAATTACTCAGACTAAATTTATTATCTAGCAATTCAGGTTCCCGTTGAAAGCAATGAACAATTATGAAGTAACGAAGCAGTAAGTAAATTGATATAAGTTCAATTGGAGAAAAGTAACTCATGTATTCGTTCCTCCTAGTCTCGAGTCGGATTTGATGTTCATTAACTCCTTAATTCATTTCATTCAAAGTTCATATAGTGGAGAATCCTTAATAATTCATGAATCTCGATTTAAGGAAATCATGACCCTCTAAAATATACTGCTTAAGGAGAGTTTATGCTCAGATGAGACAATCTACCAAGGGAATGCAAAATAGATTCCCTCTATTAGATCGAAACTCAATACAAAGCAGCGAATCGATTCACTTTCATGCAATCGACCCCCTACTTCCAATTGATGTTGCTCTAATAAGCTGACTCGCTAAAACTACTACTCCAATCAATGGCTAAGTGCAACCAAAGTTTGGAAAGCAGTATAGTGGAAGTAAAGTTTTAATTTGTCAAACGTCGCCATGTCTACTATTACTCAGTGAACCAACTATTATCTAGCAAATAGGATGTAACGTCAATTAACTAAAACTAAGAAACAGAAACAAAGTAAGTTAATTCGAAGTTCATATATGAGAAAGACACCCGAGTATGTTTCCCCTTGGTCTTTAGTTAGATTGATGTCGTTTACTCCCTAGTTCATTTCATTCGAAGTTTATACTACGGAGTATCCGGATTCAGCATTGTCACTAAATTAAAGTTGACAAGGCCCTCTTGAATAAACTGCTCAACAGGACACTATCCTCACTACAACAGAATATCAAGAAAATGCAGACTAGATTCCCTCGAGTAGACTAAAATCCCGTTCAAAGTAGTGAATCGAATCACTCTCGTGTATCGATTCACCAACTCTAGTTGAAAATGCTCTCTTAACCTATTCAAACGTTCTCTATCCTAGGTTAAAGCATAAATCATAAGAATTTGATCAAGATTCATACAACTCGTGAAAATGCATCAATTGAAAAGTGCGAATTCCACAATCTAGGGATCAAACAAACATCCAACCTAACATACAAGACTAGGGTTTTTCATACCCAAGTGAAAGAAAAGTTCACTCCATAAAGAGAGGGAGGAAAATAGTAGAAGAAGTAGTCGTCATCGTGCAAATGTCGAGAATCTACTCATGAATGATGATTATCACTCCAAGGGACTCGATTTGCTCTCCAATGGTGGAAGGACGACCCAAATTATCTCGAATGAGGTTCTCTTTGTTGCTTTCTCTCTCTAGGGCACTCTTGTTGGTGTTCCAAAAATATGGAAATCAGCCCCCCCCCCCCTTAGAATGGCATCCAGAATTAATTTATAATCAACAGATCACGAGTCACGACTTATGTCACAGTCGTGACTCAGGCGTGACAAGTACAATGTCGTGTTTCAACTTAACTCATCGATACCCCTTCAGACTGTGACTTAGGTATGTCAAGGTTGTGACTTAGGTAACTCATCGATCCGCTTCCTCAAGTCTCACCCAATCGTGGCACTTTCACTCGATGCATATGGATCGATGATGTAGCAATCAATCTGGTGCTAGTTCGAGTTTATTGAACTCGATCCATGCCAAAATTTGGGATTTTGGGAATTTTTTATAAAAATTATGTATTGTAGTAATTTTTTAATTTTGATGTATTTAGCATGGTCCATGAAACCATACCGGAGACCGGACCGGAAAAGTCAGCGATAGGGTATTTTATGACAAAACCGTGGTTTAATCGTCGTAGTTCAACCGTTAGTACCATTAAATACCGCCTAGCGATTTAGCTTCCAATACTGGTATTTTGTGGTTCAACCGCAGGTATGGTACGATTTCATGGACCATGGTAGGGATGGCAATGGGTCGGGTTGGGGCGGGTTTTGTCAAACCCAAACCCATGGGTTTATCTGCCAAAAAAACCCAGGGTAAAACCCGATGGGTTTGAAAAACTCAAACCCAACCCAAGCCGTTGGGTATCCGCGGGTTCATGGGTACCCGTGGGTTTTTGTGGTAAAAAATTTACAATAACAAGTTTCATTCAAAATAAAAGTTTAACATCAATTTTCTCATACAAATTATTCATACAAAAAACACCAATCTAGAGCATACAAGCAAACCGCAAATAATCAATACAAATTGTTCAAAAGTAAAGATAAACATCTATAAACAATAACATTAATTGAAAGCTTCTTACTCGTCAACTAAGTTTCTTCACTCTCCACTTCATAATATCAACTTCATTCTAAACAATTAGAAAGAACAAATTAAATTATACATGTCTCCACAAACATAAAGAATATTAGTTGTTTAAGGAATATATATTATTTAGAATATTAAATATACTAGAAAAGTAATTATATGTGTGTGGGCGGGTACCCATGGGGCGGGTTTACCTAAACCCAAACCCAACCCGACTCGGTGAATAGTGTAACGGGTTTAAACCCGAACCCGACCCAAAAACCGTCAACACGGGTTTTACCCGCGTTGACCGGGTTGGGTTGGGTGGGTACCCGTGGGTTCGGGTTTTGTGGCCATCCCTAGACCATGGTATTTAGAGAAAAAATCCTGTGGTCAGGGAGTCTCGGTTAGTATTCGGTGCTTAAGCCTATAGGTTTAAGCATTTTGTTTAAACTATTTTATTGGTTGATAGTGGATTAGGTAGTTAATAAGAGGTTAGTAGTTAATAGATAGTTGAGGATAAATAAGGTTATTATAAAAATATAATTAATATTAATAATTGATTATTCTCTTTCTCTCTCCTCCCATAACTTTCTCCCTAACCCTCTCTCTCATCTACAATTGAAAGCAAATTCGAAATGAATTTAATTATATTTTAAGTTTTAATAAAATTCAAACTTACTAATTTTTAGTAAAATTCAAACTTAATAATTTTTTCTCTTTTTGAAATAGAAATTAAAAAAATTAAAAATCTGCTCTCTGATTTTGTGACAACTTGCAATGTAGTATTAACGTTTTGTAATGACATTATCAACATTTATGAAATAAATCATTATTATTATACCTTATCATTATTAGCGATTTCAATATAAGTATCAATTATTTACAATTATATTATTAAAATTTTTGAATCAATTGTTACCTTTTTACATTTTCATCATCAACATTTATGAATGAACATTGATTTACAGCATCTTTACTAATGATTTGCAATATCTTTGATTTACAACATTATCATTATTGATACTATTAGTAATTTTCAATTTTCAATTTACATTTTAAAAAGGGAAAAAATTATTAAGTTCGAATTTTATTAAATATTAAAATATAATTAAATTAATTTTAGATTTTATTTTAATTGTAGTAGAGAGAGGATTATGGAGAAAGTTATATGAGGAGAGAAAGAGAATAAACCATTATTAATATCACTATATCCGTTATATTTGTATAATAACCTTATTTATCCTCAACTATCTATTTAATATGGGTTAATAGCATTTTGTATCCCTCTACTATAGTAAATTAACAAACGTACCCCTCTACTAATTTTTTGCACAAACATACCCTTCTAATATTAAAACATAACAAGTGTACCCTTCCCTTTAATTTTCTGTTAAGTGATCGTTAAATGAACTAGGAAATTACCTTATTACCCCTTATTTACTCCTAATTCAGTTTTTAATTATTTTATTTATGTTCAATATCAACTAATTAGAAAACAAAAAAAGCACACCCATTCCCCCCTTCGGCCTGTACACAACACACCCCTTCCCCCTGCACATAATACACCCGACGGAAGTTTTCTCTTCCTCTGTACTTCCGCGAGTACGTGAACCAGAGAAATCCGGCTTTTAATGCCGGCAGCTTGCCAATGGAGAAGCTGTGGTCGATGAGAGAAGCAGAGTAGAGTTTTGGCAGCTGAGTAGATGGATCGACGGGGAAGCACCAGCGTCGCAACGTCTCGTGAAAATCCGACAAGCTGGCATCGGAAAGTCGGGGAGGAGCGGGGGAAGCTGGTCCCTGCTGTGTGATCGAGGGGAGGTTCAGATGGCGTTGGGACGTTGCGGGGACTGCGGGAAGATGGCGTCTTGTCTCGCCGGTACTCTCTACTTCAGCCGCCGGCGAGGAGATGCCGGAGCAGGTGTCGCCGCCGAGTCGATCTTTTCGCCAGGGAAGAGTTCAGCTGGGGAGTCGGACAGTCTCTGATTGAGGGCTTCTCAATTAGTTTAGGGGTTTATCTTTTTAATTAATTGATATTAAACATAAATAAAATAATTAAAAACTGAAATCAGAAGTAAATAGGGGTAATAAAGTAATTTTGTAACTGATTTAACGGAGGCTTAACAGAAAATTAGATAGAAGGGTAAACTTGTGACGTTTTAATAATAAAAGGGTACATTTGTGCAAAAATTTAGTAGAGGGGTACGTTTGTAATTTGTTAATTTACTATAGTAGAGGGGTACAAAATACTATTAATCCATTAAATATTAATCCTTTATTAACTATATAATCCATTATCAACTATATAATCCATTATCAACCAATTAAATAACTTAATCAATATGCTTCGGCTTTTGGGCTGAAGCACAAAAATCCAAGCCTGGTCGGAGTCTCGAGACGAGCAACAAGAAGAAGGAGAACAAGATAAGACCGACACCGACTGCGCCACGTCTCCTGAAGAACTTTATTGGGCCTTAATCTGGACCCAAGACCAATTAGCCCACATATAGTTGGGTCTAGAATTCGGAAGCCGAACCATTTGTGCCCGTTTACGTCTCTGCTCGGCCGGTTTCTTGGTTCGTCACTTCGTCTCGTAGAAGTCACTCCTATAGTCTTATCGGCTCTCAGTCTATCCTCGTTACTGTCATTGCTCCATTTCCATCTCTATCCAGCTGCTTCTCGGAGCTACAGTAGCGTTACACAAAGCCCTAAACCCTAATTTGACCGGCGATGGCGTCAATCAACTTCAATTTCTTCGACAATTGGTTCAATAAACCTCCAAACCCTCTCCAGCCGGCGAACTTGTTCTTTCTGGCCAATTCATTCTCTCCGAAACCAGCTGACTCTCCGGCTTTTGCTTCCTTGAGTGCCTCAAATCTCTTCAGTAAGAAGCCCAAAAAGCCCGAGGAGGAATCCCCGGAGCCCGGGTACTACAAGCAAATGGTGGACCAGTTCTTCTGGGAGCACGAAAACGACCCCGACTATCGACACACGCCGGAAGTGGAGAAGATCCTTAACGATGACCCGGTATTCGAGAAGAAGGAGAATCCGACGCCGGAAGAGCTGAAACAGAACGAGGAGTGGTGGAGAGAGTTCAGGTCAAATCCTTTGGTGGAGTTCTGGTCTCGAGTGATCGAGATTGACGACAAGATCAACGAGCTGGAGCTGAGGGAGAACTCTATTCCGTATAGATGGGAGGACAGGAAGATCTGGCAGGCGGTGCCGCATGTCCCTGGAGAGGACGGGCGGCCGATGCCGAGGAAGGCGATAATGACGAGGAAACAGAGCGACGACAAGTTTTGGGATTTCGCACGGCAGTTCTTTTTTGGGCTTTGGGGGTTTAGGCAGAGACCTTACCCCTCTAGTCGGCCAATCGATGTTGCTCAGGCGATTGGTTACCAGAAGCTAGAGAAGCGCTACTATGACTGTGAGTTTGGTCTAACTTAACACAAGCTTATATTTCCAGATTAGTTTTGCTTTATGCCAATTTTGCTGTGGCAGTTATCATGAGAAGCGGTGGGTTTTACTATAAGGATCGATTGGGAAGAACAAGAGGACCGATGGAGCTAATACAGCTGAAAACTGCGTGGGGTGGTGGGATAATAGACAAAGACACGTTTGTGTGGATGGAAGACATGGACGAATGGGCACCAATCCACATGATTTATGGAATGGAACCTGCAATTGCCACTTGGGAAGGTCAGAAAAAGTTCCAATTTTGTGTATGTTGCTTCACACATTTGGCCTCTGCCTGGAATTAGAAGAATAATAGCAGCACAAATACGCTATCTTTAGTTGTGGGTTTCTTGAAATTAAGGATATGTAGCTAAGATCATCACTTGGTAATTAGTCTGAATAAGGAGTTGTAGCGTAGCTTAGGGTTCGTTCTTTTGTGTGTTCGAGCATGTGAGCAAATTGGCTTCTGAGCTTGGTGTTTGTGCTATGGCAGTGAGATTCGGTGCAGCAGCAACAGCTCTCCTTAAGAAACTACAGCATGGTATAAAGCCGTGGGCTCCTCTTAAGGGACACGAGCCAAAAACCTATAAGCAGGTGCAGCAAGAGGCTATAGAGAGCAGAAAGAGAGACTTGGCAGTTCTGCAAGCCAACGGTGGTGTTTGGCCTGGAGTCAGAACGCCAAGCCATGCCTTATTTCTTTGGGCTAGTGGTCCTGAACTTACCCCTACTTTGGAACAGGATCATATGCCTAACAAATACATCCCGAAAGACCTCAGGTACAATCCATCACTTCCTTGTATTCAATTTGAGGGACTTGTCTTAAATTGATCACTATTTGGCATCCTTTTGGGGCAGAGAACGTTTGGCGAAGATCATCCCTGGACTAAGGCCGTGGGAGGTATTGAGTGTGGAGCAAGCAATGGATAAAATAACATACGGTGGACAGTGGTACCGTGAGCCACTAGGAGCATACATGACTGGTCCTCCATACATCAGGCACTGGAACAAGGATGTTAGGGTATATGCATTTTCCACTTGCCATTCAGCAGCAGAAGAGAGCCCAATTGCGAAGCAATACATAACTTATATTCTTGACCATCTTATTCTGTTCCATGCATGTTTATGTTTTTCAGAGAATACTTGAGATCTTCTACAATCTTGGTTCCCAAGTTTATAGCAAGCTGGAGAGGACAATCCCTGGCTTTGATACGGTGATGGAGAAGGTCCAGACCGATGCTGATGCGAGGGATGCGAGGCGCAAGCTGAAGAGAGATGCCCTGAAGAAAGCTAAATGAGACGGGGTTAAGTTAAGTGTGTGATGTGCCTGTTGGTGTGTAGAATTGTTGCTTATTAAGTTTGCAGCAAAGCAATGTCAAAGACTCAAGAGGAGGCTGCTTTCTTCCGGCAGAGACAGTAACAGTAGGCTGCTTTCTTTTGTTTCATCTTGAAGCGGCCTTTGAGAGTTGAAACTAATTATGAGGTAGAAACGATGTCGCCTTCTCAGACTGAATTTAGTAGGTGAAGCCCAAATGGGAGCCTGGTAGTTGTGGTGGGTGGATGAACTCCACATTGGCCCGGCCCGGCCCACAGAAACAAAAATGGATTAAATTCCCGATTCCGAATTCCAATTCCAGTTCCACCGACCCTTTGAGGGGTTTGAGGTGTCACATGCTTATTGGCTTCTTTATATCAGACAATAGTTACGAAGTACGTGTAAAGTAACTGAGAGCCTGCCATCTTTAGGGCGGCTCTTTCCGTCGGACGCTTGTCCCTCCCTCGCTTGTCTATACTATAGCCGACTTTGTGCCTATATAGTATCTTAGACAAGGCCCTCTCATTGGTAGGCTGAGCTGAAATTAGAAATGGAAGACTGTGCAATGGAAGCTCGTCATATGTTTCCGGAAGCGGAAGAAGAAAATCTACCTTCGAAAGGAAGTGAAGGCTGCGCTGATGCAGAGGACAAAGAAGAAGAAGAAGAGAAGCGAGGTGGAGGCGGTGGGATTCTGAACAATCTGCTGGGCAACTTGGTTGCTCCGATGAGTCCAAGAGCGTCAGCTGCTACAACCGAGGCCGCCGGAGATGAAGATCACCGACGGGAGACTTTCCACGATTTGCCACCGCCACCGCCACGTGGTGCTCCAGCCGATGAAGTTGTCAGCGAAAAGAGTGAAAATGTCGTCGGCGACGATGAAGGGAGTAGTGGAATCATTGACAGCATCGTCTCTCACTTGCCTAAATCTCTGCCAGGCATGCTCTCCTCTCTCTCTCTCTCTCTTTCCCCTAAGTTGGTTTATGTTCTGTAACAGTCAAACACTCAGTCGGCTTTCCATTTTATTGACACTGGTCCATTACTCTGCCTTGTTTTTGGGTGCGTGGTGGAACTTGGAACAGAAGATGTGGCTCCGACTAATGATGAGGCATCCATCCTGATCCATGCCATTGTCCATGATTGAAGATTTTATACGAATTCTGCTTTTGTTGTCCCCTGTTTTATGCGTGGGGTTCAGACAGTTCAGGGTTGCTTGTACCAACCGGGCAAACCGCTTGACATTTTTCAATCCGTTGTAATTTCGTTTTGGGTTACCTCATTCTGTTGGCACATGGGGTTTGGTTTGATTTGATTTTTTCATTGCGGTTAAGAGTGTTTTTTTATTCGAAAATCTTTGGTTCAAAATCGAACTGTTAGTTTGTGTATTTGCTTCTCGTGTTACAATAGTGCACTATCCGTATCCATGAGCCAAAATACCTCTTTTCGTGTTTTATTAAGTCCATTTTCCAATTTGAATGCGTTCACTTGCACTGTTATTACTTTGTAGAATGAGTCCGAAACTTGATAGATGGAAATCGGAAATACAGATGCCATGAAGTTGTTTGAAAAAAGTTAGTTAAATCTGAAATACACTGATATTGTTATGAATTGAAATTAAAATGCTAAAACTTGGTTTACAATCGGATGTTCACAGTCTAGCTCTGGCCCCTACATTCATCACCTAATTCATAATACTCTTAATGGGTATTTGATTTTGATTATGTTCAAGTTATAGGCAGCAAACAGCATTAGGAAAACATTTGACAGTGTTGCTATTGAGTAACTTTTGAAAGCTATATAAGAGGTATAAACATTACATCATTGGTTAGAGTAAATACTAAATAGAGTGTAAAAGGTGTTGAAGAATCATGGTCAAGGAAACCGGATCGTATCGGTCGGTTGAACCGGTAAAACCGGAAATCGGGGTCTGGCCGAATACGATAGTCGTTTTTTACAAAACCGGAAATCGGGGTCTGGCCGATACGATAGTCGTTTGCTGGTTAAAAAATCGTGCCGGCCGGTTTTTCCGGTTAAACCGGCACAATACGAAATACCGCCCGGTTTTGGTCTTACCGGGGGAAGCTTATGGGAAGGAAACTGCGTCGTTTTGGCATTAAAAAAAAAGAGAGATCGGCCGAAGGCCAATCATCAAAACCCTAAATCATCAGCCAAACGAAAAAGAGCAACGCAGTCTTCGTTTCTTCGTTTCCAGCTGCTGGCGACCAGGATCGCGGCGTCTCTCCTCCTCTTCTCGACCGGCGACTGGAGACAAGGACCGCCGCTGCTCCGCGCTCCGCAACCGCGTCTCTCCTCCTCTTCTCGACCGGCGACCGGAGACAAGGACCGCCGCTGCTCCGCGCTCCGCAACCGCGTCTCTCCTCCTCTTCTCGACCGGCAACCGGAGACAAGGACCGCTGCTCCGCGGTTGCTCTGCGCTGCTCCGCCCTCCGCCGTTGCTCCGCCCTGCTCCGCCGGCACGCTTCTCCCTCCCCTGCTCAAGAAGAACACGCCGCCTAGAAGTAGTCGAGTAAGGAGATTGACTGCTCAACAGCTCAAGACAACAACACGGCAGGTATGTTTCATGGTTTTGGATGTTTTGACTTAGGTTACCCAATTCGCCGACCCAACCCTGCCGCTCCCGCTCTCAATCGCGAAAACGCGATTTTGTCTTGATTCGCTGATAATTCACGAATTATATTTGGATAGAGCGCGAATTCTATTTTGAGGAACGCGAATTTCTCCAATTTATGCTACATCCCAATTTTGGCGAAGGCGCTGTAGGTTCTCAAGAATGAACTCGTCGCCGCCCTCATCTGCTGCTAACTCAGATTTGGCATGTCGTTGATGATTAAATCATCATCACACCACTCCGCAAGCATTTCGCAGTCAGCAGGCGGGATTGTGATTGTAGCGGGTGAAGAGGACGGGGATCGAGGCATGGCGGCAAAGTTCGATTGTGGGGAGGAGGTTTGGGAGAAGGCTGATCATTGAGGAGAAGTAGTTTTGGGCGTCAATTACTAGGAGGGTGGAGATGTTTGGGTATGGGTTTCGTTTTTGGGCTAGGATGAAGATTTCAGATTGCATGTCGCCATTGTTGCTCACTTGCTCTGCTGGTGCGAGAAGAAAGCGGAATGAAGAAGAAGGAAAGGTGATTTTGGATCCGTTGTCGTCTAATGGGATGGATGGGAGGTAGAAATCTTGTTTGGCACCTGGGCTGGGCTGGGATTGATGAACAACGCTATAATGAAATGGGCTGAGCCTGCAAGTGTAACATAATAAATAGTAAATGGACACAATCCCTATAATTGTTTTAGCAAAGTGTTAGAAGGCTTTGTTACGTAGAAGCTCATTAGGAATAATTTTATTAATATTATTTAGTAATTAAGTTATAAAAAATAATTAAAATTAATATAATAATGACGCTTTCTTCACGCTCTCAATATTGAATTCCCGCTCTCGCTCCCGGTCCCGCTCCACGAATTGGTTACCTAAGTTTTGACTAATTTTTAATTATAATGTTGAGTTTTTTTTCCAATGTTCTGCCTTTTACATATGCCTATTTAGTTTATTCAAGTTTGTTATCCGGTATATTTCGGTTTTATTCCGATATTACTCCGAAATGGTATCATGCATCTGCCAGTACAGTTTTTTAACAAAAAAATATTTTTTAATTACAAAAACGGTATTTTACTGGTACACAACGGTTAAATCATGGTCGTACCACAAAATACCCTACCGCTGACGGATCCGGTATGATCTCCGGTACGGTTTCCTTTACCATGTGAAGAATAGGTTTCTCTCGTTATAGTGTGTAGGCTTTAGGGTTACCCACTTTCGAGGAAGACAGGGACTTAAGTGAGATTCAACCTACAAACACGCAAGCCTTTCGGTCGAGCTGAGTGGATTGGGTTGGGTAAACTTGAGATTCTAAGTTATTGAGATATATATTTTTAAATTATTTGGTATCTTTTTTTTATATGAAAAAAATCAATATTTGTCTTACACGAACCACGAAAATAAAGAAGTTTTATTCTGGAGGTAATCGACTGATAATATGTTGTATGCAATACGAGGTAGCCAAATCTTAAAGAAAGTTACTTAATCGACGATTCAGCCATACAGATACCATTTATTTTTTGTTCGGATTCCAAAATTTTAAGATGTTGTGATGTGACCATGACTACCACTAACACGCGTGCTTTTGATCGAGCGAGTGGGTCAGATTTGGTTGGTTTGCGATAAAAATTGTTGGAAATATTTTGTTTCAATTATCTCGTAACTTTTCTGATACGAAAATAAGGAAGGGTAATTAATTCAAAAGATTTACCCGATTTAAAGAAAGAGACTTAGTTGGCGTTTCAGCCATATAGCTAATTCGATATTTTTCTATTTGCATTCGTACAATTTTAAAATATTGTGGTTTGACTACTACTACTACCACCACAATCATGCATGCTTTCCAAGTTCCAACTAAATGAGGGGTTGATTTGGGTTCGCTTGAGACTATTAATTTGTGAAGATATTTTGGTATAATTATCTAATATATTTTTTATAAGAAAATGAGAAAGAATAAATAAATTCTTAATGTTTTTTTCTTACATGAATCAAGAGAATAGAGAGAGGTCACGGTCTACTTGCTGCGGTCACGGACTGAGGCCGTGATCTTCACGTCCAGGCCATGATCTTTGCCTCTTCTTCACTTTTTGATGCGCTTCGACCTTCGAATGTCTCGAAACTTGTCCCTAACCTTCCCACATGTACTAGAACCTGAAATGTGACAAAAATAGCACAAACTAGAGTAAAATAGGTCGAGGAACATCGATTACCAAGTCAAACAGTCAAGATATAAAGGGGTAAAATATGTGTAAATAAGCCTGAATCAACCCCCCCCCCCCCAACATACACAGTTGAATGTTTGCTTGTCCTCAAGCAAACCAAGTACAACCCAAGGTAAGCTAACAACTTTCTTTTTCTTTCTTTCTTTTCTTCCTTTTTTTGTTTTCATTTGATAAGGTCTAGATGAGATCTAAAACACATGCCACCTTCTTGAAATTTATGAACACATGCTCTCTTTGAAGAACTTCCTCCAACACACACTCTCACTTTCACATTTAGCAGAAACCATACAAGAATCACTATGTGGAACCTCAATGAAACTCAATTAACGAGAGCTTCAATACACAAGGGTGACTCGACAATGGTGTAGACACGAAGAAAGCAAGACACAATGCTCAAAAGGGTTGACTAAGGGATAATATGATTTGGACGGTCAATTTTTGGGTCATGGATTAATGCTATGCCTTCACCTACCTCACTAGTGGTACATGAATGCTACATGTCATGGTAAGAGGGATCTATGTCACAAGAAAGAAACGAGTAGACACAAATTTCACATGGCTACCTATATGCTCTATCATTCATTTTGACTTCCCAATCTCGATGCATAGGCAACTATAGAGATTGAGTAATCAATCCAAAACATCCATTGGTTCTCAAACAGATGAAAACTGAACATTTACACAATCGAATTGCATATCTCAGACATCATCATAGTTTAATCTCAATCACAAACAAGCCATTCATGCATCGACACTCATAGCCATGCGATTCAAAATAAATCACCAAAGGTGCCACTATGATCATTCAAATGGAGAATTTGCTTTGCTTGGAGCCCTCAAGTTTTTAAAATTTGGGCATTTAACTAGGCTCTAAGCACTCAAAATCACACCAATCATTCACACACACAATCATAATAGAATACCACTCCACACTTAAGCTTGAAATTATCCTCAATGGCATAAAATAAGGAGGTAGAATGATGTTACTAGATAGGGTGTGAATGTTGGTGGGAGGGATCGGAGGTCGGGCGAGATTCGGGAGAGCAAGACAACGTCCAAAGCACCAAAAACTCGCCAAAGGTTGTCCTATTGAAGAGAAAAGAACCCAAATCGATGGTGGTTGGGTTGCCTCCCAAAAAATGCTTCTTTAACGTTGTGAGCCGAACGGTGCTGCTCTAGTCTCGGTCCACTCCAAAACTCCTTAAAGTTGAGGTTCTTGTCGATGAGGTAGTGTCTCAAGTCACGTGAAAATCATGTGAAACATGATGGTGATTGCTTATGGACTTGATTTGACTTAAGGCTCCACCCACGATACCTCTCCTTCTTTTTTTCTTCTCTCTTCTCTTTGCCCCATACCATGTATGACATCATGGATTGACCACCATCGCATCCATCAAGAGGGATCAATGATGGTTTGGCCTTGGGTTGGCAAGTAAACGCAAATGGGTCCTTCTCGAGTAGCACATCAAGTTCGGGTGGAAAGCTTTTGTAGAACTTGTAACTTGTTGAAGCTTCATCCATCAGGACCTCGTCCTCATCTTGGAACTTTATGTTGGACCTCGTTCTTCCAAAGTACTCATGGCTTGCCTCTTCGACTTCCTCTCCTTCTTCAAATGGTACGAGACGATTGTGAGCAAGTTGTGTATGATAGACCGTCATTTACACATGTTTTTACCCTCATACTAACACCGTTTGAGGTGTTGATTCTCGTGTTTTAGGCCGATTTCACGCTAGGTTGTGCTTGGTTGTGTTATTTCAGGTCCTAGTACGTGAATGAAGGCTTAGGAGCGAGTCTGGGGTCGATTGGATGAAGAACGGACGAAGGGCGAGCTTTTGGAGGAGTGCACGGCCAGATCAGGGGGCTGCACGGCCGTGCACTAGTGCCATTTGGCCGTGCGCCTCACGACGAGAGCTTGCACGGGCACATTCCAGGCTTGCACGGCCGTGCGCCTGGCCGTGCAAGAAGGCTGAGCTTAATAAATAAAACGGTGCGTTTGATGTTGCACGGCCAGAATGGGGTGATGCACGGCCGTGCACCTGCCCGTGCAACTCGGGGAGACCGGTTTTAGTGCCTAATCCGAGCCAAAAGTGAAGGGAATCGTTTTTTGAGAGCAAAAACAGAGCCCTAGAGAGAGAAAGTGCGAAGAACTCATCCTAGAAGCTATCTTGGAGCCGGATTTCATCGAATCGAGCCTGGAGATCGCCATAGGAGTGAACATCATCGTCCCGGAGCAGATTATCCTCATCGTTATGAGTATGTCTAATCCGATTCTTGTTTTCTCTTCTCTCTCTATGGAGTAGAACCCTTCTCTCACTTGGGTATGAAGAACCCTAGTTCCTGATGTTAGGGTTTTGATTGTAATGACTTGGGAATGATATTATTGTTTGATTTTAATCGAATGACGCATGTTTCATGAATTGATTTGAGTCTGATCAGCTTGTTTCAATTTCTGCTTCAACCTGAGATAGATAGGATCTGATTAGGTTGTTAGAGCCTCTTCATTCGATAGTAGGAGATTGGCTATACGAGAGTTAGCCAGTTCACTGCTTTGTACTGGTGTTCTTGGCGCCAGTAGTGGAGTTCTGTGTTCATAGCCTCAGCTTTCTATCCCGGTGAAGACTAGTCGTCTGCCGGGTAGTTAGACTGAGAGGGCTTGGTCAGCTTAAGAGATTCCAAGCTACTGTCGGATCTTCCGCAGTCTAATCAACAGTAAATCAACCCAGGGAATTACAATTGAACCTAACTAAGGGGCTAGGGGGACTCAATCCCGAGTGACTCTTAACTGCTTTTGAAAACCGAACCATTTCTTGCTTTCTTACTGCTTTTGCTTAAACAACAATCATTCGAACTAAGTTGCTAGATAATAGAGAATCACGGAGTAAGCAGTAGATCTAGACCCCGGGTTGATAATTAAACTTGCCTGTTACTGCATTCCCGGACTGCGATTGCACTTGGTCGCAGTTTGGTGTTGTGTTTTGGCGTGTCAAGTTTTTGGCGCCGTTGCCGGGGACCCTCTAGGTTATTGGAGAAACGTGATAATTTGTTACTCTAGCTTTTTATTTTCTGCATTTTCTTTCTTCCACCTGTGTGCCTTCACGGGTTGTTTCTTCTGAGTGTGTGCAGGTAGTGCATGACCCGTAGCCAGTCGGGAGATCTACTACCACTTGACCAGGAGCTTGAACGAACCTGCAGGAACTCCAAGCGGGTTCTAAAGGCGCGACTGGCTGCGGAGAAGGCGCTGTCACAGCTACAGATCGGAGAAGAAGAAGAAGGCGAGATGGGTGATCCGCAGAACAACGATCTGATCCCCGAGGAGCAGACCATGGGATCCTACTGGGCCGCTAGGGCTGCGGACATGAGGTCACCCATTCAGCACCCTCATGTCCCAGCCAACAACTTTGAGGTGAGCACCTCCGTGATCACCATGCTGCGCGGTTCAGTAGTGTTCCGTGGTAAGGAGGGAGAGTGCCCTCGATCACATCTCAGGCGATTCCACGAGCTCATCGATGGAATCAAGATCAATGGGGTACCAGCAGATGCCATCCAGCTGAGGTACTTCCCATTCACTCTGGA